GACCAAAATCTCTGAGGAATGCTTCCAGCACCTTGTTGAATCTATGCCACGAAGAATTGAGGCAGTTCTGAAGGCAAAAGGGGGTCCAACCTGTTGCCAGCGTGGTGTACCTAATAAAGTGGCCGGTGAGTGTAGATCCTAACAAAATTGCGCCTACTTGTCAGAGAGTTAAGGCTCCAGCATGCTGCTGCMAAACTGCCGAAATCGTGCCGAACTGTCACAGTTTCATGACGAAAAATGCGTCACTTCTGTTCGCATTGCAGACATTTCAGCACTTTTTGTCGCAACCCGCGGGTTGAACTTTTCACCCCACTCCACAAAAGAACACATACGAACTATATGATGTGATTGGTCAGAAGTTCATGGGAGTGTTTGTGCTGAAAGCGTTCAGACGCTGCATTTGCTTCAACCACTTGCTTCAAAAACAGAAAGAAAAAAAAGAAAAAAGCGATCTCTTCCAGAGCCAACTGTTGTACCAGGAAGCAGCTGTTTATAAAGATAGTCAAATGGCCAAAAACTCATAAAAGGGGATAAAACAGACATTTTTCATGGTGGAATCCGACTGTTAAAAACTTTGGAGCTTAATCCGGGACCAGTTTGTGGATAAACAACGTCGAGTGACAAGTCTCAGACTTTCTTTTTTCTGCATTGGACTCCCCCGGGAAGGAATCCCATGCAGTGACGTATGCTGCAGCGGAGGGGTTTCCCAGGAGCTCGGCACGGGGTGTCTCGGGAACTATGAAAGGTCTGTGCGAAAATGAATGCCGAACAACCACGTGACGGCACGTCGACCGGTCGGCTGCCAAGCGACCATACTGCCTGCTTCAGCCTCATATGACAACTCTTTCTCTCCTATCAGACATTGTATGTGTCTGCAGCAGGTCTCTACATACTTGAGAGTGTCCAGTCTCCAGTCTGGATCCTTCTGTCCAGCTGACAGCATCTGTACTCCTGAGGCTCCTGGATGATTGTAGCTGAGGTCCAGCTCGCTCAGATGGGAGGGGTTGAACTTCAGAGCTGAGGCCAGAGAAGCACAACCTTTCTCTGTGATCAGACAGCCTGACAGCCTGCAGACACACACAACACACATAAGACAGATTCTCTGAGAGAACTATAAAGAAACTAAAGCAGACTGAGATCAAATGTTCAGACAAACTCAGCTGGCTCAGACTAATGTCTGTGGGATTTTAATGTAACTAATTTATCTCTGATTATTTGAATAAATTTTTGTAGACAAGATATCAAATAGATCAATCTGAATATAAAGTGTGGTGCTCCAGACACAGAAATAATTGAACCTCTAGGTTTAAGGTTGTTNAAATAAAACTGAGTTTAAAAGTCTCATGTAGAAGTGTCCTGCTGCTGATTCTTTCTGCCCCTCCCTGTAACGACACCACAATTGGGCCTTCTGATTGGCTGAGCCTGTTGCTGGGCAGATTAGCCTCTGAGTGACAGAACGAAGGGGCTTTATGTAACCCAACATGGCACCTACATTGCTCAGCAGTTGTAAGACATACAAAGCTGTAATTTGGTKGGGTGGTAGCTGAGAGCTAATCACAAGTTTAAGCTAACTGCTAATGCTAATAAAAAAGGCTCTAATTCAGCCGTTTTAAGACTTAACGAGCAGAAAACTGGTAAAGTAGCAGCCGAGAACAAGCTTTGACAAATCATTAGCCTAATATCACAACTGCCAAAGTTATTTTACGCCTAACATAACTTAGGCAATGTGGCTGTGCGATCTGTACCGGCTCAGTTGTGCTTGCTCATGTGCTAAAATAATTACTTCTGGAGGGCTTGTTGTCTTTTTATCATTGTGGCTGCCTGATCTGCGTGAATTTTGTAAAAATTATATTAACTTTGGATGTCTAAGAAAGTAAAAAAGAAAAAACAATGTAATAATTCTTTTGGGTACATCTTTTATTCAAAAATGTCAAAAAGCACGATCGATGATCTGAACCTTTCAGAAACGCCCTGGCTTGTTCCTGTCTTTTTATTTTGTTAATTGTGTGTATGTGTATATAATATGTCTTGTGTTTTATGTCAACTGTAAATGAATGTACTGTATTTATTCATGTCTAATACTAGAAATTTAACCACAAAAATCATCCATAAAATGTGTGTTGGGGGGGGGTTATTATTATTATACAAGGATTATTGATTTTTAGATTTTTCATGCTTTTTAAGCTCAAAAAATGACAACTGTATTATACTTGAGATCGTATTAAACATGAATAAATATGGTATTTATGACACAGAAGTAAATCTTTTAGCGCATGCGCAAATGAGCTTCTGGTACGGATCCTGCGTCCAGGACAGATTGGGCAGCTACAAGCTATTATGCTATTAGGCTAACAAAATTCTGAATTCAACATAAAAATTAGAGATGACCGCCACACCAAAAATGGGAAACTGACCATACCTCAGCCATTTTTAGCCATACTGAGGTGAAATTTG